GACGAGACGGCTATCATGGCCGCCATCACGGGAGCGTGACGATCTCGAGGGCGTGCACGACTGAAGGGGTTCTAGTCGCATTGCAGGTCTCACGCTTGTATCCTGGAATGTCAACAATGCTCCGATGTGTACGATTCCCGTGATTAGTTCAAAGGTTGTTTCTTTCTACGGATCTGATTTGATTGTGAGTCTTCAAGAAGTCTCTTTTTGGAAGGAGGAGCTTGAAGATGATGTGCACATCGGAGGCTGGGAATATCATCATGAGAAAGGCTCATGCGTCGCCTTCCTCTGGCCAGTGCAGTTCTCTTCGCGCGTGCAGTCAGGATGCGTAAGCAAGGCACGAGTGGCGGGGGTCATGATCCAGAACCTCTGTGTTCAATCCTGCTACCTTCCTGATTTCTGGGGCTACAGCATCAATGATTTCAAGGGTAGTATTTCAGATATCATGTCTAACTTTCGGTCCATTACGGCCTCGTCATCATCCTCCTCGTCCTCGTCCTATGCTCACGTCATCATGGGGGGTTTCAATACGTCACTACCTGAGGTCGAGGGGGTCACGGGAGCGTCAGAGTATAGGTGGGAGAGTGGGGGCGCCTTAGAGAGACAAGCCGCCATCTTCGATCTCATGTCCACGTTCCGTTGCCATGCTGCCTCAACATTCCTTACAGCTCATCAGAAGCCGCACACGTTCTGTTCATATAGTATTGGTAGTTGGAGAACCCTCGACTACATCCTTTGCAATCGCAACCTCTCTACCCAGGCTTTACTTCACAACGCCGAGTGTCTCTATCTTGGTGGTGCGAAGCGTGATCATGCTCCTATCGGAATCCGAAGTCAAGGTTGAATCGACAAACGTCTATACCAGAATCACATGTACCTCACTGGGCGGCATCCAGATGGTGATTCGGCCAGGGATCGTTTCAGGTCAGACTCCGAGCTCATGTTGAGGGACATCCAGTTGGCCGAGTCAGCCCCCAGAGAGAACCTCCAGCGGGCCAGCGAGATCATCCATACGTATGCTACCGCTATTCCATATACGACTCGCTACTCTCGCAAAGCTCAGTTGCAGTCTCGTCCCCCCGATATTCTCATGCTGGAAGGGAAGCTGAGGGATGCCTCGGGTACCCCCGACTATAAGCCTGTACGTACTTAGCTTCGGAGAGTTCAGAGGCGCTGGCGCAGGCAGAAGGCCAGAATCGAGTTCCCCAACGCCAAAGCCAGGAAGGCGCAGCGAGTGGGCATTCCCCATGCCCTACATGATCGGGACGGGCGGGCACATGAGGATCGCTCAGCCTGGGCCAGCATCATCGAGGACTTCTGCCGTGAGAAGTACCAAGACCCCACCGCCACCACCTCCGCTTTTCTTCAGCGTGTCCATCTCCACCGCCAACGCGGGCATCATGGGGTGACTGCAGGTCGCAAGCACCCCGCCCTCACGGTCGGGCACGTGCACACCGCTCGGGCGAGGCTCAAGGCCGACAGCTCCGCGGGCAACGACCAGATCTGCGCTGAGATGGTGCAGGAATTGTCTACTTCCAGTGTAGAAGTATGCTATCAGCTTTTCAAGGCAAGGTTGGATGAGGAGGAGGATCATGCTGTTTCGTCGTGAACCACCATCATTATGACGTTTTTGGGGAAGGAACGAGGAGCCTAGCATATGTTTCTTTATCGTGGCGTTTCTCTTATCAGTGTGTTTCAGAAGTGGTATATTAATACACTTATGGCTTTGGCGGAGGAAGATGAGGAGATGTTTAATGCAGACCACCTGGGGAACTTCGGGTTCCAGACGGGTCGGAACTGCAGCCAGCTCACAGGGCCCATCAGGAACCTGCTCTCGAAGGGTTGGGAGTGGCCAGGCAAGTTGCCGATTTTCGTCTTTTCAGGAGATGTCCTGCAGGCCTTCGACTATCTCAGCCCTGCAGCGTGCTCTCATGCTCTTCAGTTTCGCCGTATGCATGGATTTCTGACCGCAGCCCTACTGCTGGAGGGTGTAGATCTCGAGTTGGTTCCTGTCTTCCGAGGCGCTCAGAGCCCTGTGCCTATTCCCTATACTAAATGTGAGAAAACTGGGGCCACGGACACCACGGGGAAATGGAATTATGTTAACGAGCTTATATTTTCTGATATGAGGAGGATCTGGAGTGAGACGGGAGGTGGACTACTTATTGAGGGTGCTAGATACTACAACCTCCAGTGGGCTGATAATTGGTTGCTCCTGGCCTCGTCCGCAGAGAAGTTGCGGATGATAATTCGGGGCGCTACTTATGAGATGAGTTTGCTGGGTCTCTTTTGGAAAGCAAAAAGCATGGAGTATCTCACGCCCAGTATCGAGCACCAGCCTTCCTTGCCTATTACCATCTTCTGGCCTGGGTCTGCTTTCCTTGCCGCTCCGCCTGAAGAAGTCACCGACATCGGTCCCGCTCCCGCCTTCCTTGGTCCTCGAGCTCTCCAGGGACAACTCTTTGTTCCGAGACGCAAAGAGATACTCCTGCTAGGCACAGTGACCTCGGAGATTGGGGACTCCAACGCAGGCCTCGATCATCGAGTCAAGCAGGCGCTCAACATGTTTTTTTTTCAGCGAATCCCAGTTCAGACAGCCACTCCTCTCCAGGTCAGAGCGCATGTACCGCTATTCGGAGTGCGTGCCGCCGCGCCTACTTTACGGTGCCGAGAGTCTCGCGTGGAACCAAACTATGTTCGAACGTGTTCGCCAATTCGAAGGAGGGATGCCTCGGACAATCGCTCGAGTGCCGAAACGGGAGATCGAGAATAGCGAACAGTATTTTAAGAGAGAAACTCGTCAGAGACGTGCTATGTACAGACAAGCGGGCCACAAGAGTATGGAAACCCGACTTCCCGAGAAGATATTCTATAGTGTACCATCCTTCTTTTTCGACAACTCGTGGCACCAGAAGTGGAATATACACTCCGAGGCGGCATGGCGACGCCTCTCTGCCTCATGCAAGGTGCTGGAGGCACATATTCCAGGTCCCAAGCGGGTTCGCCACGGACCTGATCGTTGGAAACGCAGGGTGGGATGGGCGAGGAGGACTACTTGGGAGGATTTATTTTGTGACTACTGGGGAAATGACTGGAGGGACAGAGTCAAGGACTGGGAGGAGGGGGAGGAGAACTTTCTTGCCTGGGCACTTGAGCACCGTGTCGGAGTTCAAGGCCGTGCGGCCCTCCGCCTCGAGCGTCAAGGCCGACAGCGGGCAGCCTCTGTTCGTGCTGACCACAAAAAGCGCAAGCGGGTGACCTTCGAAGATATGATCAGGTGGAGATCGGATGGCCTCCACAAATTTAACATTATCCTGGACGTTAAGGGGGACAGCAGTACCGTGATCAGATGGGCGAGGGGGTTAGCCATAATTAACAACCACAGCTACAAGTCTAAGATCCAGAACATGCAGAACATCCTACATAGTCTTCTGAGGGCCTGGGGAATGAGTACAGCAAAAACTGGCAGTGATCTTTTCAGGCATGTGTATAGATAATACAATACTCTAGCCGACGCCTGTGCGACCAGAGGAAACCAAGAGCATATTCCTTTCTTTTCCAATCGAGCTGGATCGCCCAGCCTCCCTGCCCGAGGCCCCATCTTCCTGCGGGGTTCCTTCGATGGCGGGGTCCGTGAAGGCCAGGCTGGTTTCGGCTTTGTCGTTGAGGTCATTGACCCTCTTTCGAATCAGAGTGACGGCGTCCTCCTCGAGGGAGGCGGAGACCTAGGTGTCAGCACTGTGACACAGGCCGAGCTACACGGATTGTGGAAGCTCACGAGGGCAGTCGAGCTCCTGGCGACCACGCACAGGAGCCGCTGGGCCGATATCTCTCTTGTCTAGTCTTGTTTTGTCCTTGTGTCCTCTCTCTGTCCCTGTCACCACCATCCTGTTGCTCTCTTCCTGCAGCTGCCAGCACGACTCGTGCGAAGAAGGCTGGAACTCCTCCTCCTCCTCCTCCTCCTCCTCCTCCTCCTCCTCCTCCTCCTCCTCCTCCCCCTCCCTCCCTCTCCTCCTCCTCCTCCTCCTCCTCCTCCTCCTTTTCCTCCTCCTCCTCCTCCTCCTCTTGTTGATTCGCAGGGCCGATTGTTTTTGATTGGGTCCGACGAGCAGTCTCCATCGCGCCTTCCCTGCCCCTGGATGCCGTGCTCGAGCTCTGCAGCAGGTGCCTCGCAGCCGCGCGAGGCCGGGGGCGCCGCCTCTGCCGCCGCCCCCCGCCTCTTCGCGCCCCTCCGCTCTGCCAGCGGCCCCTCCCGGCCCTGGCCGCCCGCCCTCGTGCCAGGGCTCATCGGGGGCGGCAGAGATCACCGAGCGCGTTCCTCCTCCTCCTCCTCCTCCTCCTCGTAAGCGTCCGAAATAACACATGTCTGTCTTGATGTAATGCATCGTAGATCCCCCGCGGCGGATCCGGGTCATTTGCGAGTAGTTACCTTTGCGAGTAGTGGAGCGCGCTCGTCTAAAAGAAGGGGGGTGGCGACCAGGGGTGGGTGGGTAGCACGGCGTGGGCCACTGTATTTCCTCAGGTTTCCCGGCGCCTCTTCTTATCTCATGGCGTCGTTGACCCGCCCTCCCCTGGGGCCGCGCACGTGCCGCCGGCCACGATTTGCGACCCCCCTCTTGCCCCCCTCTTGGCCGCCCTCGAGCTCGAGAAACGGGGGTCGAGGCAGACGGGGGGCGGCTAGAGCGCCGGATCTTGCGGGATTCAGCCGGGCCAGGGCGCAGGATCCTGCAGGATCCTGCAGGGTCTTGCAGGATCCTGCAGGGCCTGACTGCACCGGGTCGGGATGGACCCGGGTCAGAAGATCCCCGATCGTGCTCCTCCCCGTGTGTCTCCGCCCCGCCCTCACCAGTGTCCCGAAGAAGAGCCAATCGTGTAGACGCAACCTTCTTCGACGGTCCGAGCGGATGTCTGAGGTCGGCGCTGGGCCCCCCTGGCGGCGCCTCTGGCGGCAGGGAGGGCGGTCCTCGTGGACCTCCGAGAGATCTTATGGCTCTGTCGTTTTTTGTTCCTCTATCTTCGCCCTGCCCTCCCCAGCCCCCCTCCTTTTCGTGGCCCCCCTGCAAGCTGCTGCGCTATCCCCGTCTCGCCCAACCAAGGCCCACTTCGATTCGATCGATCCGAATCGCCATCGGTTCGATTCCGATGTCCCGGCAATTCGATGCGGCCCGATGTCAACACAGCATAGATGTGCATCGGGGCGCAGCCGATTCCATTCGATTCGATTTCGACCTCGATTCCGAGCCGATGCAGCCGGGTTTGATGCTCCTTCCGCTTCGACTCGCCTCGATTTTCCGATTCGGTGTTGACCGATGCTGCCCAATTCCGCCGCCCCTCTGCTGCGGCAGCTTGCAGCCCCCCCCCTCCCTTGCAAGCCACGTCATGTCGCTTCGCGGGCGTATGATCGACCCCAATCCCCGAGCTACGCCCAGAACGTTTCAAGTCTTCTGATGTTCCAACCTACTTTGGCCTTGATCACCAGAAATAATTTCGAGCACCAAGAAAGTATCGAAACTGGAGAGTTTTCACGTGTCGGGCCCTGGGAGGCGACACTCGTTCGACTTAGCTTCGACACTTTCTCTGGGTGCTCGAGACTATTTCTGGGATGTGGCCCTGAATCGCGATGGGAACAGCATAGTCCACGTCGGGAATTGGAATCGCATCCCATCAGTCCCTCGGATCGGCACGTTACAATGTGACATGCGCTCCTCCTCCCACACCCCCCTCCGCCCCTTCCTCCCCCCCCCCCTTCCCGCCGTCCTCTCTCCTCCCTTCCCTCCTCCAGCCCGCTGCCTGCGCCCCTTCGCCCTCACCCCTCCGTCCTCCCCGGCCTCGCCCGGGGGGAGCCGGCGCGCGGACAGAGCATGCGGCGGCCGCGCCGATGGCGGCGACGGAGCCGCGCGTGGACGTGCCGCGCGGCGACGCGGAGGCGGGGGCGAAGCTGTTCAAGGCATCTGCGCGGAGCCGGTCGTGCGGGAGGGAGGAGGAGGAGCAGGAGGGAGGTGGAGGACGAGGGGGAGGGGGCGGGGGAGGACGGGGAGGGGGAGGACGGGGAGGGGGAGGAGGACGGGGAGGGGGAGGAGGGGGAGGGGGAGGAGGAGGAGGAGGAGGAGGAGGAGGAGGAGGAGGAGGAGGAGGAGGAGGAGGAGGAGGAGGAGGAGGAGGAGAAGGAGGGGGAGGCGGAGTGGGAGGAGGAGGAGGAGCACTGTAAACCCAGGAGTCATCAACGATGTTGGAATGATCCCTCCCTCCAAGCTCCCTCTTCATAGGCTACTACAATGTTTCATTTCAGTTGAGGGAACGGCCTCGTTGGAAAACACCAGTTTGAAGATCTTGAAGCGTGCCAAAACATTGTTCTCGGGATTTTAACGCCACGTATCAACCCGACTGCTGCGTCTTGACGATCCAGAATCATGCTAGAGCGCCATTTTTGGGACTCCTACACAGCGAACCAACATAACTGTTGCGCCCGCATAATCCTGAATGCTTCCAAAACACAATTCCTGGCACGTTGATCATGGAAATCCGTGAAACCTTGCAAAGTTAAAACACTAATGTGCGCGGTGTTCAGGCGAGAGCCACATTTTGAAAAGGAACCGCCCTCAACCCGCGAAACTCTTGCAACTTTTTTGAATGAATATTCGCGGCGCTCAGGCGAGAGCCACATTTTAAAACCGACCCGCCCTCAATCCGTGAAGCTCTTGCAATTTTAGTAAGCAGAATGTGCGCGGCGCTGAGACGAGAACAACATTTTGAAAACCACCCGCCCTCCATCTGTGAAGATGTTGCCACTTTTCCCGCTTCAGAGTCTTTCTTGGTGAGGAAGTCTCAGGCGAAACGCCCGGTCCGCCCTAAAATTTGGCCTCGGGGTGCGACAGGGAGATGGTATCCATGAGGAGAAGGAATGGAGGAGGAGGACGAGGAGGAGGAGGAGGAGGAGAAGGCGGAGGAAGAGGAGGAGGAGGAGGCATCAGGACGCATCAGAAAGAGGACGCCGACAGTCCAGGGTAACCCAACCGAATTCGGAACAGACACAAGAAACGAATATTTGCTCAAAGCGACGAATCTCTACCCCAACGACCGCCTCCAGTGGACCCGAGGGATGGGGATGCCTACAATGCCCGAATCAATTCTCGCCAAATTCTGTCTCCATTTAGGCATGTGGGTGCACAGCGTCATGAGTTGTCGGGGGTCGGTGGTGCAACAAACCCCACAGGTGCTAAATAATGTCAAGCAACATCTACTCCACTATTGCAGTGTGTGAGACTGGCGAAGGACTTTGCCACCGACACGCTGGACCCCACGGAGAGGCTCGAATTCCCGAAACGCCTTCACACTACAGAAGAGTCTCACACATCTGCAATACCGAATTCTGATTCGACAACCCCGAGCATCTGGTAAGTAAAACTTAGCACCCACCCTACTCCACGTATACTCAGACTGCTTCGAAACCCGCGCCAACTTAGGGAGAGATTTCTCGCTTTCCGCTTTCAGTCTCACCGCGGTCCACGGATCGGCTTGGATCACATCTCCCAGCGCTCTCCACGCCCGACATCGGATCAGGGTCGCTTCCGCCTCCCTCCTATCTGTAGGAGGGTCCCAACACACGAGTTCGGACACAGCCTTTTCAGCCATCGCCCCAGCGAGTGCGTCAGCACACTCATTGCCGAAGGCTCGCAAACACGCTTCTTCATCGCGGAGTGCCCCCTCCTCTGGGTGGGAGGGAACCCATTCTATTATTACCTGCGCATCAGACCCTCTAGCGCGAAGCGCAGCGACGACCCTGGTCCAAAGGCCAGCATTAGCTCCCCCTCCAAGGACTTAACACCGAACTTCTGACCTTTAGCCCAGGCGTCTTGGATCGGGAGGTGATCGGTTATAAACCCGACTCGGCCTGGGATCTGCCCGATCGCGAGCGCAGGCGCGGTGCGCCGTCTGCCGCCTCCCCTGCATGGTCACCCCGAGACCCCAGACCGACTCCCAAGCGGCTCCCGCAGGAGGAGCCACGGCAACAGCTCCAGTGCCCACCCGACGCCGAGGGTCGTCCGAGAACCCCCCGCCCGACGCATCCCCAAACGCGGTTGCGTAGCCTCCGGCGTCGCGGGGGATACCATTCCCATCTCTGGAGCTAGAGTGCACTGGGGGATCCCCGGACACACGTCGGCGCCGTCTCGGACCGCCCAGGAGCCCCACGGAGCCAGCAGCCAGGAGAGCCGTCGTGGCTGAACCTGGCCTGATCCACCAGGCGCTGGGGCCGCTCGCGATCTCTGTGGCCAACGTTGGCCTCGCAGTCTTAAGTCGGGCCTGTCCCCCTACAGGGGGATTTTCGACGAAAAATTTGAAAAAAAATCCCCCAAATACCCCCAAAAGGTTTAAAACATACTCAAAAAATAGTCCCCATATTGTTTTTTATTATTTTTTGATTTTTTTTGTGGTATTTTTAATTTTTCGTAGAAAAAACCCCTGTGTAGGGGGACAGGCCCGACTTAATCGCAGTCCCAGATCCTGTGGACCAAACCTTCCGGCGCCTTGCGGCACCGCCGGCAAGCGACAGCAGGAATCCGGCAGCCCTGCGGCGCGCAGGCGCTCGCGTGGCCACGGGCCGCCCGTCGCGACGAGCACGTGGGCCGCGCGTCGGGGCGATCGCGTCTCCGTCCGACTGCAGCTGCGGCACTGCACTCGGGGGCGGCAAAGAGGGGGGTGGTGACCAGGGGGGGGTGGATGTCATGGCGGGGGCCATGATATTTCCCCGGATTTCATGGCGCCTCTTCTTATTTCATTACGTCCCTGGCCCCCCCCGCTGGGCCGCGCACATGCCGCCAGTCATGATTTGCACCCCCCCCCCTCTTGGACATCCCCCTCTTGGCCGCTCCCGATGCACGCGGGACACGGTGCGTGTCCGCACCCTCGGCGGGATCCGAGGACTCGATGTGGTCCGCCGCTGAGGAGGACCACAGGGCCGCACCAGCCGCAGACTCTACGGCATCCAGAATCCCAGTGAACTCGCCACGAGTCTTCTCGAAATCAGGATCCGCACATGAGGGAATAGTCCATGCAGCTCGCTGGGACTCGCATTCCGTACGCGGATGGGGTATCCATCCTATGTGTATTAGTGTCGTTATCGTCGTTCCAAGAGGTCCCTTCACCACTCACCAGCGACGAGAGCGTATCGACTCCCATGCCAACGTCACGCGAGCGTGCCTGTCAGGATTATCCCTCCAGTGCTTCAGCCACGCACAAACTTTTCACGACGGATAGTTTTAGCTGGATCTCGATTATTGTAAACAGCAGACGGTGAATTGGTACGACACCTTCCAGGTCCAGTATCCACTGCACACTGCGCCGACCGTCTTTTCTCAGCGTAGCCAACTGATGGTTTGGGACGCCAGCGCCTGGTGAGCATACGTGGCTTGTGGACGAGCACCCGTGGACCAAAGCGAAGTAGTGATAGAGCGAAGTTTGGGATGCCGTCGCATGCGCCGTATAACTTGTGTCCTTATCTAGTCCTTGATGATGCGCTCCTTGGTTTTCTTGCTCACCCTGCGTCTTCCGCGCTGGCATCCATGCCCAGGTCGACCGCCTCTAAGGTAGCAGAAACAGGGGTGCCAATATCGCACAATCCCTGTGCCACATTCTCGGATATCTATGTCATAGAACTAGCCACCACCGTTGTGTCATTGATCACCAGGCCTGCAGAGATCAATGCCTTGCAAACTGCGCCACCATCATCAATCATCGTCTGCAACACCTCTTTGGCAATGCCCTCCACTCTGATCACCGTGTCGTCCACGAAAGTGCGGAGCAAGATGTGCAGTCCAAACCTAATATGTGTTCTCGATAATATGGCCCCCCAAAAAGCCTTACCCATGTGCCCACCATTGAGTGACCCCGCAATTCCTCATCTTAGCCCACAACTTCACAATGACTGGCAACAGACCAGGCACACGATCACCACCACGAGGATGAGGTGCAGTAGCTCCAATAACCATGACTACCCGAGCTGGCCACATCCCATTCTTTCCGATGTCCCTAACGAGCCCCAGCAATTCAATCTTCGCCTCCACTGGTAGTCTCTTGACCTCTAACGGCCCCATGGCGTCAACTCCCTTGAACATCCGTGCATTCATGCTCGAGACGGCCGTGTTGAGATCTTCGAGGCTAAGTTGATCCAGGCCCTCCTGCACCGCCAGCTTGTGGCTTTATTCTAAGCCCGAAATACTACTGTCAGGGTCGAAGGAATTGCTGCTCCAGATCTTTTTCCACCGTCTACTGGCTCGGTAGCCCAACATTTCATCGGGCGAGGCGTACACGTGTGGATCCGCAACGATCTCCACAGGCTTGTCCAGAACCCCGCACGCGTAACTATGAATGACCCCTGGCGTTGACTTCCACATCCTAGTAGCCCATGCTTGAAGGCTTTGCCTCGCCTTCGCAAGGGACCTCCCAATCACTTGGTACTTGAACTCATCTGCCTGAGCCAGCACCTCCTCAACCTCGTTGTCATTCAGTTCCGACAGCACCGTCATCATGCCCAACCAGATTTTGAAATCATCCTCCGACTTGAGACTCTGGTTGACATCCGCGGCGTCACCAAACTCCTGGATGTTCCACCATTCCGAAGGAGGGTTGCGTAAGTGAGGTCGATCAGGTGTTGCCTTAGTCTGAGCCCGCGTGATACTATATCCATCCGCGCGACCTCTGCTCTTATCAGCTTCGCCCCCAGGCAGATGAGGATGGGCAGTGGTAGACTCCCCCACCGCAGACGCCCACTCGCCGTACCTCTCAGCAACGCCATCTCTATATATATATATATATATATGTGTGTGTGTGTGTGTGTGTGTGTGTGTTGGCGCTCTATCTAATAGGAAGTTGGAGGAGGAAGAGGAGGAGGAGGAGGAGGAGGAGGAGGAGGAGGAGGAGGAGGAGGAGGAGGAGGAGGAGGGGGAGGAG